GGAATTGAACTTATTTCATAATTCAATTTAAGGCATTTAAATTAGATTGTACTAAACATATCGCGCTATGACGCCATGTTGTTTTTCTTGCTATAACAAACACAATATTCAGAGACAAAAAATTAATATGGTTATATTTAATGTTTGCTCTTTTGAAAACTACAAAGTTAACCTGGCATCAATATGTGATAGAATTAAGGCGTTTTTGTAAATGGTATTAATTGTATAAAGTTACCAGCGCAGCGGAAATATTTTTATGGTGCAGATATTAATGGAAATATGAAACTAGAAAAGACATCAAAAATTTTGATATGGTAGCGTTGAAATATTGGAAATTCATGGAAAAATTGCGTAAACATTTCTAATATTTTAGCAGGAAATTCATCACCTCTGATAAAAGCGGAAAATGGTAGGCGTGAAGTCAATATCCTAGATAAGAAAACTATCTACGTCAAAAGTAAAAAGTATTAAAAAGAGTAAAACTGCGTTAGAAACACTAAAGAGTAATGAACTGTTGCATGATGTCAGTCCACTTATCTGGTGGTGAATACTAGACAATCTCCTCATAGATGAAGAAGAAACTTGAAACAAATGAAATGTGGTTTTACAGGAGGATGCTGAGAATTCTATGAACTGAACAACTGATCGGCAGATTAAAATATTGATGAAAGCATTGTAAAAGTTGTCATCAAAAATATCCGGCAAATAATTGCTTTACTCTGACACTGCTTACTGTCATGAAGAGAAACGATTATAAATAACGGGCCCCGATAGTAAAACTGATCAGTGAGACCTAAAGTCCGTCGGTAACCGGGCTAAACATAGTTTGTCAATTTTAAAATCCCAAAAACTAAACTGCTCTCCATTAATTCTCTGAAAGAGACTTCTCTCTACCTTCCATCAGTATGGCTGATGCTAACCTCCAGGGAAATGACTCCTTGCGCCTTCTAGGGGTAAAATTTCCCAGATGATATAGATTAGAATGTCAGCCGCGAAGAAGATCGGTTCAATGTGTCGTGAGAGAAAATTTTGATCTTCAGAATCGATCTTACATATCTATAAGTCTATCATTAGTCCATACTTAGAATGTTGATATCAGATATGGTCCGGTGCCCCTGCTATTTACCTTGAGCTCCTTGATAAAATCCAAAGAAGAATCTGCAATATTATTTGTCCTGATTACTTACTCTTTCATCCATTTAGAGATGCAGCCACAGGTTCTATGCTAACAGTTTATTTTCCTGCACTCCTCGCTTGTGGAACTCAATTTTCCCTGCATGCTTTCCATCCAAATTTAATCTGCAAAAAATTTTAATGCAATCTACTGTCCTCCTAATTATTCTTTTCTCTCCCTGTTTATTAATGAGTCTGTTCCTAATTCTTCCACAAGCTGCAACCCCTTGCATTTTAGGGGCTTTACTACTTGCTAAGGGGGTGGTACCGATTAATATATATATATATATATATATATATATATATATTATGGTCCAGGTTAGGACCAAGGAAGAACAACACGAACACAAGAGTAGAAATAACGAAGGTATATTACACGAAATAATAATACAAGAGCTGGAAGGTGTTAGTATGAATGTTAGTCTGGTTTGGAGTGAACTACTATCGGCTTGACTCGATTCGACCCTCTCTATTGAGAGGCGTAGTATACATAGTGTTAGGAAGAGTTCATTCTGTAGTTATAGGTAAGGACCCATGACATATATATATATATATATATATATATATATATATATATATATATATATATATATTTATGCAAAACTAGGTAATCTGTCTGTGTAGACCCAAGGAGGATGATATCCGAGAGCTCAATGTAAATTCAGAGCAAATATGTTTGAATAAAAAACAGACCACTTTAAGGTTCCATGTAATAAAATTTGTAATTTCACCACAGCCCTATTAAAGGGTTCTGGATCATCAGACTTTACTTCCAAAGGTTGAAATGAAAAAAAAAAAAACGTTGGAAGTAAAATCTGATGATCCAGAGCCCTTTAAAATGGCTGTGGTGAAATAATTTATTACATGGAAACTTAAAGTGGTCTGTTTTTTTTTTATTAAAACACATATATATATATATATCTTATGTATTTTGTTCCTGGAATATTTACTGAAGTTAACTAATAATACGTTTGGTTACAGATTACTTTGTTCGTTGTGTTTCTTTCATACATTTTTCTGTCCTTTTACTGATGTTTGATGTTTCATTGAATGAAGTTCGTCTTCCTGGTTGGACATTTTCTATCGTGTTCTTTATAATTCTCTCAAGATTAGAAAAAAATCTTTCACAGACCAAACTCAATATTATATGAAGGTTTCTTCTGAATGCCACCTTCTATCAAACTAAGTTAAGTTTAATAAATAGCGATGCAACTTTTTACAAATTACTATTGAAAAAGTCGGGGAAAAATTTTCCCTTCAAATTTGTCACTCAGAAAAGGTGTCAGTGAATCCATGGGAAATAGACTGTAACAGAAAAATGCTTGTTACTTTTGTTGTCGGATTTAAAAGAGAAAAGTTACTCTGTATGTGTGTGTGTGTGTGTGTGCAGATTAATTTTGTTGAGAAAATCCTAACAGAAGAAAAAACTGATGGAAAAGAATAAAGTGTTAAAAGATATCTATTTTTTATATGCTATAAACAATTTATACGCTAATAATCGATTTATACGCCAATAATCGATTTATACGTCAATAATCTATCTACACACCAATAATCGATTTATACGCCAAATGATCGATTTAAACACCAATAATCGATTTATACGCCAATAATCGATGTATCCACCAATAATCGATTTATACGCCAATAATCGATGTATCCACCAATAATCGATTTATATACCAATAATCGATTTCAAAATATTTGATGATCCATTTACACTATCCACATTGTTTGGACTTTTGTCCTCACCATTACTCTCATTTTGTTCGAAATTCCAACGTATGTCACCTGAAGAAGGCCGGAGCAAAGAACGGCAAAAATGACGTGAATATGACAAGAGAGATGAAGACTACAGGCCAAACGATATAAATAATATAAATAGTTAAGATACGTCATCTCAGAAATATAGACGGATTTAATGATCCGTTAACGTATAAATAATCACATTGCTCATTTTTGGTTGAACTGTGCCAGCCTAGCGTTAATATAAATATTTCTGTATTCGCATATACAATGGGGTCATGGAAAGATTTTAGCCTTCCCAAAATCTTTGAAAATGACCAACCATGAAATGATTTCCTTTCTTAATCGGACCCAAACCGTTTGAACGCCCCCACCCCCGATATCGCTATATGGTTGTCTATATCACTTATACTAACAGACAAATCTTACTTATTTTAACTTTATCGAATATTTTATGTAAAAAAAATTCTCTTAATATAATATGATAATTTCATATAGACAATATTTGCTAAAAGAAACCACACCTGCTCTACAGAGAAAAATTCTAGAAACCTGATTTTTTTTTTTTTTTTTTACCAACGCGGAAGGAATGAGAGAATGAAGCTGGCGTTGAATTCTGATGTCTAAACATCTTGCACCTGTTTAATCTGTAAATGAAGTCTGTTCGTTTATTATTCTTCTGCAAAAGATAAGTGGCCATTGAAAATGCATAAAAAAAGAAATATTTACACAGGAGTGAACATTTCTGTGTAGACAGCAACATTATTTAGACTTGATGTTTGTGTAAGCCGTAATGTTTTGACGCAATATTTTATTAAGCATTTACGTCAAAATTTTCATTCACATTAATGATTAGATTCGCATAAAATTCTAGTCATAAACAGAAAAATACAACAATAATAACGAATTGGGATTAACATTGACTGAATTTGAGTCGGTTACACGGAAGGAAAATTACAGCTTTTATTGTCACGGATTTGCCACTTTTCCGGTAGTCTATAATTTTATTTTCATTTACTGCTTTCCTGCACTGACAAACCAAATTTTATTTTTATAGTTTCGATACTTAACGTTCTTCGTTGAATATTATGAAAGACGATTGTCAGAAGCTATTAACAGAGTAGTGTCATTACGCAGACTTCGTTTTATTTTTTTCATGTTAATATTAATTTATTTGGTATTTGGAGGTTTCAAGAGACACAGATTCAAGTGACTTCAAAATTGAATTTTTTTTTTCTGAAGTACAGTAAGCAAAAATGCTTTTGGCTATAGCACGAATTCACATCACCCTGCTTTTCAATTCATTGACAGTCAATATGGCATCCAATGAAGTCGACATGTGTTTACACATATAGCAAGTACAGTTAAAAATATCTCACTGTAAATAGGAGTTAAAGGCTAAAAGTTGACGTAAGTCGATGTTAGATATTTGTAGGACTTACTTGCAATACAAGTAATCTAGATGCAGCCCAGAGATATATCGCTTGGATGTACGAAGTAGAAACATTTGAAGTTTTATCGGAAAAGTTCTTATTATTCTACTTGTAATAATCTTTTTCTGATCGTGGTTCTCCTCTGGATACAAGAATAATCGTTGGGTACTTGGATTTTTGTGTGTTACACCTAACTCTTCTTTACAAACAGCCTGGTAGGTTCAAATCTTTTAAACCAGAAACCATTTTGTTCAAGAGTTATAAGAGTTAGTCAATTTCTAGAAACTTTACCGAAACAGAAATAAATCCCGGTTTTTCTGGAGTTTGTTCATATATATAAGATGTGATGTTGAAAAGATCTTGGTAAATTATCTGACCAACTAAACAAACATCACAGAGGCTAAAATAAAGATATAGTGATTATTTCCATGCACAAACTGATTACACACACATATATATATATATATATATATATATATATATAATTATTTTTATAAAAAAATTTATAACATAAGTATGTTATAAAATCACTACAAAAATAGCCATTTTGTTTCAACACACTCTGTGTCTTATCAAGATATAAAAAAATTTTATATATATATATCCGATTTCTGATCGACATTGAAAAATCTCCCTTCATAAATATAGCGAATATTAAAACAAATCTATCTATCTATCTATCTATCTATCTATCTATCTATCTTGTTTCTTTCATGTTCTGTGATACAGATCATCATACAGATGTCTGTAGTTTCCAGCTATCTTTGAAGTCCAACTTTTGTATTTTTTCAAGACAGATCTAGTTGAACTAATCGTCTGCCTGGCAGGTGAAAAACTTGGCATCCATTCGCTTGATGTTAGCTATGGTCCAGTTAAGGACGTTGAAACTATAACACAGGGACAGTCAATGTCTTTATGGCAGATATTCTGTTTTTTTTTCTCAGCTCGGTATCAGATACCAGATGCTAATGCCTGTAAAATTCCTTTTTTACTTTCTCCTTCATATTGAAGGCTCTAGAATCATCATTATCACCATCACCTTCGCTAATTCCTAGGTACCTTGTCTTCTTCTTACAGTTCCTTAATATTTTGACAAAAATTAGATCTATTGAATGTGTTTCTGAAATTCTCCCTTTCTTCAATATTGCACATTTATCTAATTTGAAATTCATACTTATTTCGTCACTGAACCACTGGGGTTATATTCCTTTCGGAAACTCCAAATCTTCTTTCTGGACTTTGACAATAGTTGGTGGTTTTTTGATATGTATAGCTGCTTTTCAAATTTCCCTGTAAAATTTTTAATGACAGTTTGGAATATCATATTTTGGCGATAGAACATACAACGTTTATCGTATCATCTTGTTCTCTGTGACTTTAACTATAGTTTATATTTATGGCATATGTTTTTATTCTCTTTGCATAATGTATCTTTGTCAATGTGTGTATGTGTGTATATATATATATGATTTTTATTATTATTCGTGTATGTTATGTTTGCTGCTTTGTATCCTGTATAACCGGTTCAAAACTATGGTCCTTAGGCCCTATAGTAAAATTGTCATTTAATTGGCAGCACATTTCTTAATATATGGGATGTTTCTAATAGAGCAAATCATCTGGCCAACTTGTATGATGATGTTACCAGGGTAACTCTTAGTAAAATTGTCAATTCCTTTTCTCACGAGGCCAAGAGATTCGATTACTGATGGTACAGTCTCAGTCTTCATTTCCCACATCCTGTTAATATACATCTTCACGTCCTTCTTCTTCTTCTTCTTCAAATTATTATTATTATTATTATTATTATTATTATTATTATTATTATTATTATTATATTAAGATAGCTAAATCTTTTTATCTGAAAGTTCAAACTCCGTTATCCTACAGAGTAATATATGTGTGTGCCAAGGTCAAATTTGTCCATATCTACCAACCATAACATTTTTCAGAGAGAAGCTCCTAAAAGAATTTTTTTTAATGTGATTTTGTTTTTATTTGTATGTCATTTGTAGAATATTTAGTGTGTTTGTATGATTTTTTCAAATTTTTATTTCGGTTCGGAGTAAGATTTGTCGATTTTATTACTGATTATCTTTTCTTTCCTTCTTATCAGATTTGTTTTCTAGTCTTCCATCAAGAAACAACAAAATACTTAATCAAAATGTTCGTCGTTTTGCAGCTGGCATTAGTTCTTATCATCTTTGCATCTTTTTCAAATTTCAGAGACTGTGTTTCATACAAATAAATGCTAAACATTCAACTAAGAATTCACATTACTTTCCTCAGCTGTATTGTTCAAAAACTTTCCGGATAGTATGTTCCTGAACCTTCTTCAGACTGTTATTTTATCGATTTGATAGTTATGCAAATTTACTTTTTATATTTCATCTAATGTTGTTGTTTACTTATTAGAAACATTCATAGGTACAGAGGCAGAAGGAAAAATATTCATGTGCATAAAAAGAACAAAAAAATAAAGTGGCAAATTAAAAACATTCAAAAAATATTGAAGGCTCTAGAATCATCCTCCTCATCATTATCATTCTCGAGTGCTGTCGTGTGGTCTCTTGTGGTTGAGCACCTGGCCAGCTCCCTCTATATGTCTCGGTTGCGTGTCAATATCTCAGTCTCTGTGGAGTATTTTCCAGTAACAATCTCAGGTGGCGACCGATCCGTTTGAAAACCAGCAAGATATTCATTGGACAAGTAGACGTTCCGCAACAAGTCTCTATTCAGGTAAGCTGTAGATTACACCCGCTTAAATGTTTCGTTGGGAAATTAAAGCAAAATATCTTATTAATCCATGGAACATCCCAGATCAGAAATCGAGGAAAAACTTATTCGAAGACCTGAAATTGATGTTTCTCTAAAGCTTCTATAATATAATTATATGATGAAAGAATTCAACTGATGTGTTTTGAGGAAATTATTTGATTTCCAGTATTATTGTTTTTTGTTTTCCAGCATCCCAATTGAAGAACAATTCCCAGATATATGCAATGCATCGGAAGACATTTTGATTTATATTGCATTATTTACGTAACAAAGCAGATAATAAAATTGGTCCTGCTGCTGTAGAGTAATAGTCAGCAAATTTTGTCTAGTGTATCGTACAGGGTGGGAATCTCTATATTACCGCTCAATTGTCTATATTATTCAATGAAACATGCTTCAATGAAGACATGCTGCCAATATATATATAATAGTTTTGTTTTGGTTTGGGAAGATAATTAAAGTTATTTATTCAATTTTGGGGTTGATTTTTGTAATTGTTTTGGCGAGAGATATTTTTTAATTTGTTTATTGCTTCATGTAATTATTTGGATTGATTATTATTTGTTTTTTTCTAATTTATTTATTTGACTGAAGTTAGATTAATTTATTTTATTTGTGTTTTTATTATTTATCTATTATACTGTACATCAGATTAAGCCACACTTAATTAAAATATAATTTGTAGCAAATTTACAAAAACTAGAGAAATGAAAATTGAGTTTGAAATTAACTAATGAAATAAAAAAGAACGACTTCTTCTGTACCAATTTATATTCAGATAATAAAATATTTGAAGCTTATAAATATGATGCCAACGTGATCTTTTAGTTTATTTAATGTATATTGCTTTACAAAATTTTAGTTTTTTAATTGTAAATATTGTGCGAAAATAATTTGTAAAATACAAATTGTTGCAAATATAATATTATATTCGACTCCATCAACAAGTATACTGTTCGTAAACAATTCGTCAATAGAATTGATCGCAAGTTTGATGCAGGACTTTAATTAAATTTTTCTTTTTTTTTATTTAATATTTATATAATATTTATTCATAACGAATATAATAATCGAAATATGATAGACCTTTTGAGTATAGTAAGTGAAGTAAACAATTACAATCCATATATATATAGTAGTCGACTCTCCCGTCGATTTCGACGTATGAGGGTCAAAGAGGATCAGTTTCCAGAAAACCTACAGCCCGACACCGGCACATGAGATTTGATTTTAGTGGTGAAGGCCTCGTGCAGGACCATCCACACTTTTTGAAGGGACGAATACAGGGACCTGGTGCACCGAATGCCACAAGGTTCCCAAACGACCCTCCGCAGGTTTTGAATTCAGAGTTGTCCTTCTCCTAGATCAGTTGCCATCCAAGGCTATAGAACCCAGTTGTCCTGCTATTTTACCCATAGCTGGAGGGAGAGGAAGAGGATTCATACCTTTCCCAAGGGTATTAGCACGTAAGTGAATGTAATGGATTTGACTGGAATTCGAATTATATATATATATATATATATATATATATATATATATATATATATAGGTTGTAATTGATTATATATATATATATATATATATATATATATATATATATATATTACAGAAAAAAAGAATTACCTCAACATATAGTCTATTTCAAGCAGATATGACTATCATCCGTCTCTAAGTGTCTGTCTCGGAAATTTGTTTTAAATTTATTTTCAATGTCAGTCCTCCTCTCGTAGACATCTTGTTAATGAGAGTGGATTTGTTTTAGCGACTATTGGGGGCGTAAGGTATCTTATCTTGTGGGGAGAGGTCTGGGGTTGGAGTTTATTTATGGCTAGGACATGTTGTTTGTAGTTTAATATCAGTCCCTACTACCTAGTGTGTCTTATAAAAAGTTCCAGAGTATCTTTTTCTGGGATTCACTGTAAATATTTTTTTTTACTACAGGTGTCCAATATTATTAATAATATTAATAAGCGATCGGTGATTTAAACTTAATCCCGTTAAGATTAATGCAAATTAGTTGAATTATAGATTTATAGATTGTGGTAATACCCGAGCACCCAGTGGAATAAATCATGCTGTCCAACACACTTATATCCGTAAATACCTTCATGCATACATATATGTACATTTACATGATAATATATATATGCCGAGATACGTACACATACGCCCCCATATGATCTGTTAAAATAAAGACATCGAGTTATCTGTGGATCAGTTTATATAATTATACTAGGATCCACCCAAATAATATACCAACGGATCGATTACCTGTACTATATATATATATTCAGGCCGGTAAATGTTATTTAATACTGTTTATCATAAACAGAGCATTTGCTTAAATTTGCTTGTATCTATAAATAACAACGTTAAACATAAAAATGTCTTTAATAAATAAATTGTCGGACCTTGTCCATTTCTTAACATATATTTATATATATATATATATATATATATATATATATATATATATATATATATATATATATATGATCGGATTTTTATCCTAGATAATGAATCTTTGTTCGCCTAAACTGGGTCGTTTCGTTTTTAATGCACCATTGGTATGTTGGTGTTATTAATGATAAACGATAAATATTTCGCCCAATCAGATTTATTTTGGTTTGATAATGAAATATATATTTTAATCTGTGAACAAAATATTGGCTCCAGTTTTGGAGCCACATTTATAGAATTTTATTTAACTGAAACAATCTGAAGAACAAAGGGAAATTTTAATTCTTGGACAAAATGTAGGCTGTTGTGAATAGTTTAATGATGCAATATGTTCTCTGGAAAGAATCAATCAGGAAAAAAATTCTTTTATATGTATTTCCAGTTTGTGCTAAATCTTTGCGTGTAGTTGAATACGGTGCAGATTTATTTTCAGTTAAATTGCTCCTGATATTGGACGATGTGCTTTAACAGAAACCAATAACCAAACTGTCTTCTAGAACGAGGATACACAGTCTCATCATTTTCTCACTTAAAATTTTCTAACCGAAAAAGAAGCACTTATTCATTATCACATCGATCGATGATGTATGATATTCTTCATTGCCTGTGTTAAATAACTGCCGTTATAAAAATGTTTCATGTTGTTAATTCTTGTTCTTTACCTTGGCAAACTTAATTTGGCGGACCAGACGCATACGTCTTTTTGGAAAAGATACCAGATCGACGAACCACTCTTACATTTCAATGATATGGGAGGTGTTAAAATCTCCAGGTATCAAACATAGCTGAATCAATATCCTGTAGTGTCTCGCTTGAAGATAATACAAGGCTGATTCCAAACTGGGAGGACTGTAAATGGCGTAAATGTCAAGTTAAATCTTGGTTTTCTTATTTACTGTTCAGTTTGGTTTCCCCTAATGCTTTCTTCCAACATTGATTAATTTAAATGTGATATTAGTTTCAGAAAAAACTTAATACAGCAACATAAAAATGTCCCCACGGTGTTAAGTTCACAAGAAAATGAATATATTAGGATAAAAAGTTTCCTGGAAAAACTCATTACTTCCATCCAAACTTAAATCCAACAAAGGAACAGGCTTTAATTTATTTGAAATTATCTCTGATTTCATATATTTTATTTATGTGACGTATTCCTTCTAAACGTATGGGAACTCCGCAACTTATAGCTCTAAGCAATGTTTCCCCCTTACTAAGCCTTTGAGTTTATGTTCTGCCAGTCATTTACACAAGCTCGTTATGTCAAGTAAAGCTTTCCCTTTGCCCTCTTGCCTTAAACATGCTCTGTAAGTATCAGATTCTCCAAACCTTCCTTTCTTCTTTACGAGTTTCAAAAATAACAACTATTTTTTGTGCTCCTTGTTGCTTACATACTCTGCTTATACAATTCTCATCATCTTTCTGTAGACTCACGTCTTTTTTATCTCAAGTTATTTTTATTAGTAAGGTAATTGTCTCGCATTCACTGAACATATTGAGGTATAGACATTACATAGTATTTCAGAATTCCTTCCTTTGTTTCCAGCAAGATTATTCTGTTTTTATCTTTTGTTTATCTTTTGGAAAGCATATTTGGCGATTCCATTGCGCCTTCGTTGTTACATTATCCTTCGTCTGAAAAAGGTCATTCTTTCTTGATTCTGGTAGTCGTCCTTGCTAATGACAAAACCTTTTGCTTCCTTACAGTTTAAGTCCTTTCTTTTCACTTCTCTTTAATGCAGAAAACCTAATTTCATATAATGATTTTCCAAGCAAGGCCGAAAGTAGGGGGCACCAAGTGAGGATCGAACTCACTACTGAGTTGGAATTGTTCTAGCGAGACAAGCTTGCTAACCATTATATCGCCTCAAGGTGCCCTGAACCTAATTTAATATATGTATATACTATTTCCTAAAGTGCTTATTCTTTTTACGATAGTAGGGATGTATAGATTATCAAGAAAATCCATAATAACAACAAATAAAAACACAAGATCGATTTTGTGTGGGAGACAATTACTGTTTAATCTATCAATAACATTTTCCTTTCACTCATATTTCAGTCATGTCAACGTGATCAATATTTTTCTCTTGCTCCCTAGACCAGTGGATTCTTTAAGAGATAAGAACATCTGGTGCGAATTTGGTTATTCACAGAGAACAGTGACTACATGAATTAATGTTAGTATTATAATTAAAACACTGACCAGTTACTAAATCAACACAATAACCTTTTCTTTAAGTGTAGACACAGAAATCGTTTCAGAATTCTCAAATAATATCTGTTTTGGAAATCCTCACACTTGTAAATTTGGATTTTTTTACATAAAACTAACATGTATTAAATCATGTAGTAACAGTATTCATGTATGATCTTTCATGTGGTTTCAATCACACCATCATATATGAACACAATTAACGAATTATTTTTACCTGGTTATCTATTGTATGCATCTTTTTTTCTTTATATATATATATATATATATATATATATATATATATATATATATATATATATATATATATATGAGTATACAATTGTTCTTATATTTTTTATATTTGTGTTTCTATATAAGAACATGTGCATTTTTTGTGCATATAGGTATATGTGTGCATGATTATGTTTTGTATGTTTGATATTTTTATAAGTATATTTATATGTATCGTGTGTATTTATCAAGGTACACTTGATGACATGCACTCTTAAGTATAGGTGCATATGCACCTATCTATTGGTGCATATGTATCTTCGTAACTTTAATTTATTTTTGTTTCTCATTTATTTTATTATTCGTGTTTTTATTTACTTAAAATGATTCTTTTCTTATGAATTGTTATTTTAATTTTTTTTAAATAATCTTTACATAGATATATTTTTAAATTATTATATTTGTTTAGAAAATTATTCGTTAATTTATTTTTTCATTAATCTCCTATTTCTTTAAAATTACAAGGGGATAAATAACTACTTCAAAATAAAATTGTCAAATATATTCAGTTTTAAACACCGAAGATTACCAGTTCCGATTCATCTCTCAAGTTTGCCCATTGTATCTCTTATTTTTCCTATTTACTTTCTTTTTTTTGCTCTATTTTCTTTGTCTATTTCCTCTCTTCCCCTTTGAAGATATTCTCTCTCTACTTTTTCCCACATCCGGTGAAAAAGGGGTCAACTTGTCTACTATGAACCCCCACCCATATTTCTGTTTCTCCCCCTTTGTTTTTCCTATTTTTTCTTTCTTTCTCTCTTTCTTTTTTTTTACCTTTCACCATGTTGAATCTATGTTTTAATATTTAGTTTTGTGCCTAGTAAAATTTTACATCTATTTATTGTTGAAAACGTTTAGTCTGATAAAGCGAAACGGAAATATCGATTTCGCGAAAAAAATATTACCATGGGTTTCTAAAGTCTCCGCTTTATTAGTTATATATATATATATATATATATATATATATATATATATATATATATATATATATATATATATATATAAGAACATAGAAGTCAACACTTAGAGGCGACAGTCTGTTTCATGCTAGATGCAATCATCATATATATATATATATATATATATATATATATATATATATATATATATATATATAGGCAGTATGTCTTCATTCAAGCATTATTTAGAAGTTTAATAATGTGCAAGTAATCTATAAAATAATAATCTATTAAATAATAGACACGAGTTAACAGTTTTTTGTAGGCATCATCAGATTTTTGGTTTGAATTATTAGATAAAAAAATTTATATAACTTGTTTAACAAATAGCCCAATCATCAGATTCATAGTAGGAATAATTAATTACAAACATACAACATAACACACTTCATAATCCATAGCCTAAATTAGTAGTTTAAATACCTTTTACATATAAGATAACCCTTTATGAAGTCGTCAAAAACAAACGTTACGAAAGTTTTTCTTTTTTTATATGCACAATTCCCTTTCATAATAAAATAAAATAAATAAATAAATCTCCATAGACAAGCAAACTAGACGATGGCCAATACATCTTCCGTTTCATTTTTGACACCCCCACCTTTCCCGACTTGACACCTTGAAAGTATCTCTATACCGCTACTTATTATAAACACCCTACACTCGCCTACCCAATTTAGACAATTCACCATAGCTGTTACCATGGGGATTTTGATTTCAATTTTAAAACAAGTAAATTTCAGATATACGTTATTCCAACAAAAATTTCGCTTGAGGATGGAACGGAGCTCATTTTACTTTCAACTCAATTTAATCTAAAGGATTATATTGAAGTTTTCGGCTCTTGTTTTGAAACATGAGACCTCTTATGTAGCGATTTGGAATCATATTTTTAAATAAATAATTATATATATATATATATATATATATATATATATATATATATATATATATTAAGAAATGGAAAAAAAGTCCGACAATTTATTTATTAAAGACATTTTTATGTTTAAGGTCCTTTTTTTTTTTGACATTCAGGCCGGTAAATGTTATTTAATACTGTTTATTATAAAAAGAGCATTTACTTAAATACTTGTATCTATAAAAATGAAAAAGAACGTTAAACATAAAATGTCTTTAAATAAATATATATATATATATATATATATATATATATATATATATATATATATATATATATATAGTTTTTTTGCTTATTATTTTTGTGGTGTAGTGTATTAGTGTTGTTGGCAAGTATTTTACTGTATTGTGAAGTTGGATAGGAATGCGATAGAATTTGTATCTGACAAATGGAGTGTAAGACGTCGGGATAGTGTTGCGGTTTTCAAACTAACATATGTGCTTACATTTTTGTTACAGATAAATTCTACAAAATGACATTTAAACTGATATACTGTTGAGGGGTCCACCCCTTTCTTATACAAATGAACACATCCAGTATATACATATACTACTGCAAGAGCAAGACCGAGGAGTCGAGTCGAGTCCAGAGTGACAGAGTAAAAGGCTGTAGGTAACCGGAAGAGTGAGGGTGAGATAACAACGTTGTAGGAGTCACAGTGAGCGAGCACGTAGACTCAGTAAGAAGTCATACAGCGATACTTAAATACCAAAGGCTGTATATATATTTTGCTACTAACCCGTATTCCTGGAACTACTAATTTCGTATTATTACGTTAATACATTATTTTCCTATATTCATTCTTGGCGTTTGTTATTTATTGGTACCGGATTTCAACCTGGAATCCACAACATATACAATTTTGGTCCAAAACACTATATATATATATATATATATATATATATATATATATATTAAGAAATATAGTCTTAAGATGTGCTATATTTATAGAATAAGGTGCTCAATATCCGAGATAGAGCGTGTGTAAATATAAAAGTGAACATAGAAGTCAACACTTAGAGGCGACAGTCTGTTTCATGCTAGATGCAATCGTCAGGCCACGGGTGTTGTTTTTTTCTCGGCTATTTATATATCCGAGAAAATAATAGCACTCGTCGCCTGACGATCGCATTAGCTCAACGTGTTTATTATAACAGAGTATACAAATTACACAAAAAAATAAAAAATTACCGCATATGGGGTGAGGTGGGGGTATAGATTCACTCAACGGAAGTACATTTGTCTTATTCAACCCCAGTGTACAGACTGTTCGTGTCGAAATTTTAAACTTTTAAAAATGTAACTTTGACAGCGGTCGAAAAATTAATACAGAATTTATACATTTCGATATTTCAATCAGACGAAATTCCCGAATCGGTAGTAAGGGGAGGGTTGAAAGCATTAGCATTAAAGGGAAGAGGTTTTATAAAAATTAACCGGGATATTGATCTTCTGACACTAAATTGAAAGAACTGTTAAAATGAAACTGAAATGGAGCCAAAAAGGGAGTTTTAGATAAAATTCTTAATTATATATAAAGAAAAATTAGGTTTATGCTAAAAAAATAAACAAATTATATTAGAAAATGTGATATATTAAAAAAGATTAACAAAAATTTCATTTAGAGAAATTATATTTAATTTAAGTAAGAATATAATCATTTTTGAAAATTTTTCAATTTTTGGAAGTAAAGTCTGATGATTCAGAGCCCTTTTAAAAGGGTTGTGGTGAAATAAGTTATTACATGGAACCTTAAAGTGGTCTGTTTTTATTCAATATATATATATATATATATATTTGGACATATTGAATAATTTAGACAAGTTTCTTCCACTTATTTTCAATTGGATCCTTTTATATTCACGGACAAGCTTTTAGTGTCATTGTTAATGGAAAAGAGGACATCGCCGTGTTTATACATATTATTGTTTCCAATTACTTTGGACATAGCACTGTGTCATCATCAGGAAGTTGTTTATTTCGAGACATAATGCAATTTCTAACTTATATGCAGGAAATAAATTGGTTGCATGTAAAATTGAATGTTTATGTAGATATAATCAAAATTGAAATTAAAGGTCATTATAAAAATTCAAATCTTTCCTGATTATATTAAATATATAAATTTAACTATCCATCTTTGGCAAATGGGATTTCTTTGGATAAATACCATATTAGATTTACTCATAGAACTATCTTGGACTGTACATGTACATTATATTAGGCATCAAGGTCTATAATTCAGTCAATATTTAAGTTTTGCTACGATTAATTAATGTTGCACAGCAAAATCTGTTTTCTCAATTCGCAAATCGTCGGTTTTCGAAATTCACCATTTCACTAACATTTGCAAGTTCATTTCTAGATTGTCTATTGTCCATTCCGTGTGGAAAAGAATTAAATATATTTCCTTAGGTGTCTGCCATTGTAAAAAGTCTGTATGTTAGAAAGAAATAAAAAAAATCTGTGTTTTACTCACAAAAGACGCTTTTCGAAAATTTGTGCAGAAGTCACGAACTGTTACGTTTTTAATTTAAAGAGATTTTATTTCAGTTTTCAAATTTTTCAGTAAAGAATTTCTTGTGAATCACGAGCAAATAATTTATCAGATTTCAATTCTATTTTAATTTTATTAAAGCAGGAGGTAAATTGAAAAAAAAAAAAAAATTTTCAAGTGGAATCAAGTTTTACACATTTTGCCCTACCAATATGAATAGGTGTATTTCTGTATTGAAGACACCGTAACATATACTTCATCTCCAGGGATTTCTATTTTGTGTATTTTAGCTGAATATATTAAATATATGACCACAGTAATTACCAGGTTTGGCCTGTGGAACAACCTTTCAACAAATAAATAGAACAATTCCGAAAAAGAAAAGAAAAAAAATGTTAAATATTTCTATTCACAATCTTTTATTTATATTTTCAAATGTTGCAGTTGATTTACTTCCTGGGATTTATGTCTGTGAGTGGGAGGTTATTTAATAATATTCATATCTCATAAAATTACGATGGAAGTATGTAAATATCCTATGAGTTTGATGACGTACAGATATTCAGTTACCAAAGTTAAGCAACGTCGAGCCTGGTCAGGACCTAAACCGCTATGGTTATACCAGATTCTGTAAGTTTAGATATGCGGCATGGATAAAGGTTTGGAAATTGAATTCAGAGACAAGTGTTCAATTCCAGTCGGGTTCATTATATTCACACACGCGCAAATAACCTTAGGATTATTATGAATCTACCTTTACTCTCTCCAGCTATGGGTTAATTAGTATGACTTTTATCAGTAAATCATTATTATCTCAAAAAAACTCTTACAGTCTTAAAAATATTTTTTGGCTTTAAATAACGTGCAAGAGGTCGACAAACGGTAAAAAGCAAATCAATTAATCATTAGAGATATTTATTGGTGCTGATCATGATATTTTATAATCTGCTTAATCTTATAAGTTAAGGTTTGTACAAATCCACGTATTGGAATCTTACTTATTATAAAACGCAGATTGTGTGTATGTGTGTGTGTGTGTGTGTGTAACGTTTATATATTGGACGGGATTTCCTACATTTTTTAGCCGATTTCAACAAAACTTCACAGGACTACAAAAATTACCTTGTGGTGGTTCTAACGGCGCCGAAAATGGGAAAAAGACAATTGCTTTTTAACAAAATCAATTTGAAAACACGATTAAGACACATCGTGAGAATGAAATGGAGACAACTCACATCGGGTTAAAAAAACCCAGGTTGTTTGTGTGTGTGTGTGTGTGTGTGTGTGTGTGTGTGTGTGTGTGTGTTTGGCTTTGACCAATAC